ATTTTAAAAGAATGAGTGAGACTTCATGTTTCTAGGTGAAGGTTAAAAGTTCTAATTGAAAGTGACTACAAAAGGAAATAGTTTTGCCAAATAAGATCTCAGTGTAATTTTATGTATCCCTGTGTAATTTAGCATCATTTTTGTTCTTCAGAGTGCCTCCACACATGGTTTATTTAAATATTCTAATTGGACAAGGAAATATATTGGTAGTTCATCCCTGTCAAGTCAACACTCAAAATACTAACTAAAAAGAGCTTCAGGAAAGTAGACCAAATAGGATGGATAATGTCTCAGTTAGGATTAGGTAGGTTACTTATCAATTACAAAAATCACAAAGTAACAGTGGCTTAACCAAGATAGAGGTTAATTTCTGATCAGACACAAAAATTTTGTAGGACAGTATCAATAAGAGAGGCTAATAGTTTTTATTTAGTAGGAACATTTACCTTACAAAACAATTGAGGGCTCTAAGGCTAAGGAAGAAGTAGTATCTATTGGGAGACAGTTATTAATATCTGTGCAAGCAGTAAGAGACAATCTCTTACATAAAATTCCTCTCATATAGAAAGCAGCATTTGTATGGTGTTTAAGAAGTCAAAATGCATTTGTTTATATCCAGGCTTTCTACTTTCTAGCTCTGTGACCCTGAACAAGTCACTTAATTTTTCTCTTTGTGCCTTGTTATTTTCACAATAAGAAAAAGAAAGGTTTTTAATAGAGGGTTAAATTAGTACAAGTAATTGGTAAGAGTATTAAATAAGGTAATCTAAGTAATTGACTAAACCAGTTGCCTGGTGTATGTAAGCCATAATTGTTAGTTTTGTTGGTGTTTGCCTTTGCATAGTGTGTTTTCCCATCATCAGTGTGTGACAGTGTGCTTGGAATATTGCCATTCTTGATAAACTCACCTAATCCTCAGGGTCCAGAATTTTTACGGGGGCTTCGTTCTGTAGACAATATTGTTTTCTTGTCTAAATTGTTGAACTCAGTCTCTGGATGAACTATGTGACCCAGAGCCTTCGCCCAAAGTTACATTGTTGGTGTTTCTGTCAGAGCTGTCTTCTATCCTAAGACTGTCAGGTGAGGCCAATCCCACTGTGGATAGACAGAGATACTTTATCACATTTGGCAGATTACTTCCCAGAAACCAAAGAAAATAGCCAAACTTTAATTTGGGGAGGGACAGATTCTTTACTACACAGGCAGATAATAGCACTGATGAAAAAGAAAATAAGAGATATTTACAGATGAATCTGTTGAAGTTTGTTATTGTTTGGATATAAGGTGTCCCCCCAAAGCTCCTATTGATACAGGAATATACAGAGATGAAATGATTAGACTATGAGAGCTATGACCTAATCATTCAATCCTAGTTTGAATGGACTGACTGGGTGGTAACTGTAGATAGGTGGGGCACAGCTGGAGGAAGTGGGTTACTGGGGAATGCCCTGGAAGGGATGTTCTTCTCTGTGGCCACTTATACCTCCCCTCCACCCCCATGTCTTGACCTCACTATGAGCTGAGCAGCTTTCCTTTGATGGGCCCTACCCCATGACATGCTGCCTCACCTTGGGCCCAGAGCAATGGAGTTGGCCATTGTGGACTGAGAGCTTTGAAACTGTGAGCCCCAAATGAATTTTTCCCCCTCACAGTTGTTCTTGTCAGGTATTTTGGTCATAGTGATGCAAAAGCTGGTTAAAACAAAGTTGTCAAAGTTAAAAATCTGGAAAAGAAAGATAATCTAAGTGAAATAAAGGTTCAAAAGAAATGACCCACCAGGCATGGTGGCAAAAGCCTGTAATCCTGGCTACTCAGTTGGCCCAGTCAGGAGGAGCTCAAGTTTGAGTCTTACTTGAAAAACAGTAAGATCTTATCTCAAAATTAAAAAAAAGGAAAAAAGGACCGACCGGTACCCCTGGGTTTCATTCCTAGTACCATCAAGAAGAAGAAGAGAAAAGGGGTGACCCAATTGATGATCTAGAAATTGGCTGTTGAAATGAAATTTGAGGAGCCAGTTGAATGAAGATCAAAATGAAAATAAATTTTTGCAGTATATAATAATACTAATTATAATGTACTATGTATTAAAAAAAACAGAAAGAGTTTGAATGTTTTCATCATAAAGAAATGATTAGTATTTGAGGAGATAGGTTTACTCTGATCTGATTAGTGCACAATGTATACACATGTAGAAACAATGAAACATCATATGGTGTCTAATAAATGGGTATAACTTTAATATATTAGCTAGAAATGTTTTAGTGCCACTAAGTGGTTATTTAGAAAAATACTGTTAAGGAAGAAAGGAAATAAAGTGCTTTCTTTCCTGTGACAGTTGGAAGGTTTGCTGTCATCCCTTGTATTTTGGAGGAGAGGTTAGAAGGAGGGTTGAAATAATTAATGACTTAATGTGTGTATAGAATATTACCATTTACTGAGCTCATTTAGTTACCTTGGATCTCCTAGGTCAGTGGATCCAATGTAAGTGAAAGTAATTAGTAAAAAGCACTATTTAAAAGTGATATAGTCAGGGTAGTATCATCTGTTTTCTTCTCTCTATTGATGAAGGTCCTGATCTTGAAGGTTTGTTTTTTTTTTTTTTTTTTTTAGTGGTTATGCCAGGTTGCAGAGTGAGTTGGTAGGGCTGGAGCTAAAATGTTTGTCTCCTGACTTTGGGTTAAGTAAAATCCCCCCAGGCCCTTTAATTACAAAATGATTCTTTTTGGAATACAGTTCTCAGGAGTTCTAATTGAATTCCTGAAATTCTGCATTTCCTCTTAAGTACTAGGTGATTGGTCTTTGAACTCTAGTTGATGTTGGTTTTTCTGAAATGGTGAGTATGCTTTCTAAACTCTTAAATAAGTAGTGCTTTTTGAGGGACAAGTGCAAATGCATTTATAGATGGTTTAGATTTTCAACAGGTCTTTGAATAAAACTCTTCACAATATTTCAGTAGTACAAGTTCTGATGGAAAAGTTAAACTGTCAGTTCAATAAAGTGAGATAATATGACTGGAGCTTTTTTCTAGAACATTAAAATTTAATTTTTTTATTTCTATAAAAGTTATATAATTTTTAACACATGTTGCTATTAAGTGTACTTCTTGTGGAGGAACAATTGATTCTAGCATTAACATTTAGTTAATAAAAATAATAAATAGGAAGCTATCACATGGCGGTGTTATTAACACCTAAATGTTACCATATTACCATGTCATGAATTTTAATATGTATTTGAGGGTGCATTTGGATTGCTTACCCTGAAGTCAGATTTTCTATGTATAGCTCTTGATCATTTATAGCCTTATGGTGGTCCATAAATGTTTATCTCATAATCACTTTAGATGAGGGTCTTGAAATCTGTGTTTGTTTGTATTTAATATTTTTGAGTGCCTATTATATTCCAGGTATTGGACTAGATATTGAGGGATACATAAGTAGAGGGCACATTATATAGGATTTTTTAATAGGCCAGAATATAATTCCTAAGGATAAGGGATGAGAGAATGATATAATCAGTATAATTTCAGAAAGTTCATTAGTTCTGTCACGTAGATTGGCAGAAAAGTGAGTGTTGGGTACTGGAATCAACTATTCCGCTTTGGATTGTGAATTGGAGACCTCAGGTAAGGCAGTTAGATATACTGTTTTGGAGCCTGGGTTAAAAGTCAGATTTGAATAATACTGTTTTTATTATCTGCATATTACCTTTGAGTTCTTACTAACATGTGTACCTTAAAATATGTGTAACTATAACCACAACTTCTGAAATAGTAATTTTTTCTATATTTCTTTTGAAGCTGTTAGTCTGTGAAAGAAGACTATGGTTCAGGAGTTAGTCTCTGTTCTTGTATGATGTGGTTCAGGCCTTGAAGGAGGACTTTTTCAGAAAGTCCTGCTCAGCTCATGCTCTGGGGGGAGGTCATGTGAGCCATATGGTCAGGGCAGAGCCTCTGGAGGTCATAGTGAAGCAGCTGAACTAGAGTAGACTCTAGGTTGTAGGGCTCTCTGGGAGTTTGAACTTGGTTAGCTTGTTTCCAGGGACTCCTGTATTGACCAGTTTTTAAACCACCCAGAAACAAAAGAAAGAGCCCTGAACAGATAACCTATTCTTACCTCTACTTCTTCAGAGAACCAGGGCTCATGGCTCAGTAGGGTTTGAGGGCTCAATAAGGTTTACCAGCCTTTGAGTTTGGGTATCATATGATGAGCTCAGGAGTTATAATCTATCTTTAAAGGTGGCCTTAGAAATTAAAGATGCAATGGGAATGAGTGTTATTCTAGACACAGTGATGTCTGTGCACGTATTTTAAAACATGAAACCCTATCAAATCAGAAACACTTCTGATCCCAAGTATTTAGGATAAGGAACACTCGTACAGATCCATAGGTTTTAAATGGACATATTAAATTGGAGTCTGTATTTTCAATGGTAACCAAGGAGGGTTTTAAGTGATCGTGTCCACATCAGTTGAACCATCGCACTATGAAATCTTAGTTCCAAAATTTAAAAGTTTTAGAAGCATATGCTGTACTTACAACAAATGAAATTTATTTTTTTCCCTTTGTATTTTTTCCCCTTTGTCCTTGTATTTATATTTTTGTTCCATCTCTGACACTTAATTCTGTTTTACTTTCTCTCCTCCCTTAATTTTTTCACTGCTTTCTGCTTTTTTCATGTACCCATAAGTTACTAACTGCCATTTTCTCTATTCTGACTTAACCTTGAACTTGGAACTTTGTTTCTAGGTTTCCTCTTTCCCTACTATGTAAAGTCCTTACTCTTCAGCAAAGTTCATTTTCTTACTCATATCAAGTTATATTTATCCTATTCTTTTAGGCAAATCTGAGTCTTTCTCACTGATCATTCTTGTCTTTCAATGTCAGGATTAGAAAACAGTGATCAGTTTGATGAGGAACTTTATTCTTGTTTAAAGGTTGATTTTCTTAAGAATGCTCACTCTTACCAGTCTTCTTGTTGTTGTTTTTCTTTCCTCCTAGGGAAGAAGAAGAACGTTTGAGAAATAAAATTCGAGCAGACCATGAGAAGGCCCTGGAAGAAGCAAAAGAAAAATTAAGGAAGTCAAAAGAGGAAATACGTGCAGAAATTCAGACAGAGAAAAACAAGGTAGCTCAAGAAATGAAGATAAAAGAGAACAAGCCTCTGCCACCAGTCCCTATTCCAAACCTTGTAGGAATCAGTGGTGGAGAACCAGAAGATAGTGACATAAGAAAGAAAAGGGAAAAAATTAAAGAGGTAATAAGCTGAGATTTGTGACATGGACTGGTTATGGACATGTGTTTACTGGGCTGGTTACAGAAGTGTGTGGATATAAATATATATATTTATACCATCTGTGTTGCCATATTTTGATATTTTTTGTTCTTGGGTCATAGTTGTATTTCAGTTTCTAGGTTGGCAGTAAAGACTAGAGCTCTGTCTCTTTCTTAGTGTTGATTGTAATATAATTATGTACAATCACAAATTTGATACAAGGTTGTTGTTTTCTTTTTTTTTTTTTTGGTACAAGGGATTGAACTCAGGGGTACCACTGAGCCACATCCCCAGTCCTGGTTTGTATTTTATTTAGATCCAGGGTCTCATTGAATTGCTTAGCTAATGTCTTGCTGTTGCTGAGGCTGGCTTTGAACTCCTGCTCCTTCTGCCTCTACCTCCCGAACTGGGGGGATTATAGGCATGTGCCTCCGTGCCTGGCACAAGGTTGTTTTGATGGTTTTAGCATTCTCATTGTGTTCAGATATCTTATGAAATTTAGCATTTTATAAATAATATAGAATAGAATCCATTTATAATTTTTCTACAGCATAATCAATTTTAAGTCTTTAGTTATTAAGAATCTTTGCTTGTGCAAATCTTTTCATAAACAAGTAAGCATAATATCAACTATTTTTAAGGCGTTATTATGGTACCTCTAAACTGTACTACACATTAAGAACATATTTCTTCCACAGAGTCTCTATGAATTGAAGAATGGGGAAAGAGTTATCTAAAAATTTTTTATATTTATTTAGTCTCAGGGGCCTTTAATTCAACCTATTATTCTAGGACTTACAGATAAAAGAGAGTAACTGAGGGAGGAAAATCCAGTATATTTGAGATGAACTTTGTTGGTTAGAACTTATGATAATTTTGCATGGAGTTTGTACTTGTACAGCCTCTGAAGGAAAAGATTTTGTCAGAATATGATAGTATGGACAATATTTCAGAAAGCTTATTTAACTTAAAATAAAGCATTTAATTTAAATGGCCAAATATCTATTTGCATATATTCTAGTAATGGATATAAAAGGTTTATTAGATATTTTAAAGTTGGACTTATAAATTATTATAAAACCTGGACCTTGATGGAGTGAAAATAGAGCTGTACTCTAATTTTTACCTCATCTTTAGAGGTTTTGTTATATATACAGAGACTGCTTAAGATACTTTCTTTGACAGTGTTGGAGGGAAGAACAGTGATAGATTTTTTTTAGATGCCACTACAATTTTTTGAAATAACTTTTCATATATATACTAATTTCAGATAAATAACCATGTGTGTTCAGGGGACCCCCAAGGTGACCCTGAGGCTCAGTGAATTGCTAGAAATACAAACAGAATTCATTTTACAGAAATATAACTGATTTTAGTTTGCTGAACTTGTAGCCTGTTAACTTTGCTAAGATCATTTACTGATTCTAGTGGCTCTTTTGTAGATTGCTTAGGATTTTCCTTCTACATAGACATGTCCTATAGGAATAGAAGTACGTTCCCTTTTCCCTTATTTCTCTTTCTTGTCTTTGTTGCACTGGCAAGGCCTTCCAGTACATTGTTTGAAAGAAATGCTGAGAAAGAACAAACTTGATTTGTTCCTAACTACAGGTTTAATCATTTAGGGTTTTATTATTACATATGTTGTGTTAGCAGTAGGTTTTTTTGAAGATGCTTTTGTTAGGTTGAAGATGTTTCCTTGTAGTTACAGCTTACTAAATTTCTGTTGTGAATGAGTGTTGAATTTTGTCAAATAGTCTGTATTTTTGTCTATACAGAAATGATCACAATTCCCCCACCCTTTATTTTGTTAATATGGTGAATTATATTAACTATTTTTTTAGTTAAATTAGTCTTCTAGTCTTGGGTTAAACTCTACTTGCTCACGGTATGGTATTTTCCTTATCTATTGCTAATTTTTTAAAAGAATTTTTTTTCTGTGTGAAATATATTGCCCCAGAGTATATTTCTTATAAAGTCTTTGTCTATTTTAGATGTATGAGCATGCTGCCTGCATTAAACAAATTGGAAAATGTTTTAATGAATAGTATGCTATTAAATGAATAGATTTTTGATACACCATAGCTAGTATTATATAATTCTGCTGATATATAATTAAATACTTTGTTACCGAATTTCTTGAGTTGTAAGAAACTCAGTTCAAACTAACTCATATAAAAATGTTTATTAGCCTAATGAATTTAAACTATGGATTTAGAATTGACTCAATCTAAGTATGTAGATATAATTGTCAGTAGTATGCATTTATCTCTATTTCCTTTTGCTATCTAGTTTTTCCATGATAGGAGAGCTAGTCATTTTCAGCTCCAGGATTCTATATTATATAGGCCTTGGGATCACAAAATGAAAGTCTCCCTGTTTCCCAGTGTCTATAATAGTATGTTTAAAAAGGATATGATTGTCCCTACTTAAGTCACATAACCCAGTCACTCTGTCTAAGGATTGGCAAACTATAACATGTGTGCCAAATTCTAAAAAGCTGCTTGTTTTTGTTTTTTAAACAAACTGTGTTGTTTTGGTTATATATTATCTAGTACTGCTTTTGTGCTTCCTCAGCAGAGTAAAGTTTTCTGACTTCTGATTGAAGGGTAAGAAATTTTCTCGCCATGCTGAATTAATTAGAGATAGAAGCAAAGCCCTGTGATTGACACCTCTGATACAATCACAATGAGGGCAGGGTAGCTGTTCTCAAAAGGATTGGCAGTTCTTAAAAGTAAAGAATGCCAAACATCTTGCTCCTCAAGAAAAATTGTTGATTACACATAATTTTTTTCTGTTACATAGATTAACATAGTTATGTATAGATTGAGATTAACATAGTTATGAGTTTTTTCACACTGATACAAGTGTTAATTGAATCATATGCTTATGTAGGGAGACCTAGAAGAATGTATAAGAATATGGTAATAGAACCCTGAATTACATGAAATATAAAAATAATGGTCTGTGAATATTTTAATTTGATGAATTATAATTTTTTCTTCTCAGATGATGAAACATGCCTGGGATAATTATAGGACATATGGATGGGGTCATAACGAACTCAGACCTATTGCAAGGAAAGGACACTCCACTAACATATTTGGTAAATTTACTTTTCTCTAATTAACTGTTTCCATTCTCTGTTTCCATATTTTAAAACAAGATTAATTTTTTTAAAAGTACTTTGTAAAATCTGAGTGTTTCTGTGGAACTGTAAACGTATATTTTTTTGCAAGCATGTCAAGATTTAGTTCTAGTTACTTTGGAATGCTTTGTATTCCAAATACTATTTGTAGTTTTTCTTCTTCAACACAATACCATTTGCGTATGTAGAGGAAGAGGGAAGAGATAGGAAATTCCGTTAGTACTATATACATTGAAAAAAATAAAAGCAATACATCCAGGCTTGGTTGGTAAATTGAGTTATGTTGTAAATTCATAATTCTTAAGGAAAAATTAACAGTTTGTGTGTTAATGGAGGTTTGAGGAAGAGTTGTATTAATCTTGAGTTTTGTTTTTCCTACCTCTTTTTAGCTCAGTTCACTTGTTGAACTTTTCTGTTTGTTGGTTATCCAATTTGACTGAACAGGTTTTATTAAACTCAAGTTTAAGTCTTGAGAATTGTTGATCTACTCCTTTTTGCCTTTACTCCTTAACCCCATTTTAAATGCTTTTTGATGTGATGGATTTTTTTTTTTTTTTAAACAATGATAGGTGAAGGCAAGAAAATTTTAATAGGGATTAGAAGGTACTATACTTCTATATTGGTCACATGCAATGAAGTTTCTTTATTAATCAAAGTATATCTTCACAATAATTCAAATGACAGTATTTTTCCTTGTGACACTATGAAAACATTTTTCTTTTTTTTATTCCTGAGAATTTTTGTTTTTATTTGTTCTTTTTGGTTATATGTGATAGTAGAGTATATTTTGAAGTATTTATACAAACATGGACTACTTCTTATTCTAATTAGAATCCCAGTCTTGTGATTGCACATGATGTGGAGATTCACTGTAGTGTAGTTATATATATACATAGGAAAGTTAAGTCAGATTTGTTCCACTGTCTTTTCTATTCCTGTTCCCCCTCCTTCCCTTCATTCTGCTTTATCTAATATACTGAATTTCTGTTCTTCCCCTCTCCCCCTTGTTGTTTGTTAACATCTACATATCAGAGAGAACATTTGACCTTGGAGTTTGGGGATTGGCTTAATAGTCTCCAGATCCATCCATTTTCTGTTAAATGTCATAAAGTTATTTTTTTTTATGGAAACATTTTTTTCTAATGCTGTAATTTGCCTCATAATGTGTGTGTGTATGTGTGTGTGTGTGAGAATTACTGGAGATTGAACTCAGGAGAATTCAACCCCTGAGCTATATCCCAAATCCTTTTTTGTTTTTGTTTTTGAAACAAAGAACTTTGGTCTTGCTAAGTTGCTTAAGTCAGGGTTCAAACTTGGGATTCCCCAGCCTCAGTCTCACAGTAACTGAGATTATAGTTGTGCATCATTGTCATTGCTCGTCATCATGTAACTTGTTTTCTGTCAAAAATAAAATGTCTTAAAAATTAATTTTCCCTGGCTTTGAGAGATGATGTGGTAGAAGAGGAAAAAAAATCTCCTTTATGTAGATAATCAGTAACTACCAAGAATCTGATACTATATTTAATTTGGTAGCTGTCATTTAATGAAATAAAATATATTTCCTTTGCAGAGGTTACGCGTTGAGAAGTTCCCATTGCTTTGTAGATATCAGAAAATGAGACATTAATGTAAAAAAATACATTATACTTACTGGTTAATTAAATTAAATTCTTCCCTCAAGTATCCCTTTATAATAAGTTCAGTGGTTAATTGAGCCTTTTTAAAGGATTGGAGTTTAAACATGAATTGAAAATAAGAAGTAAATGTTGATTTTCTGCTTTTTTCAAACTATATTTCTTAGTACATCTGTTGTATTTTCATGTATCTAATAGGTACTGGTTCTGATATTTTAAAGAAAGAGAAATATTAATTTTATCTCATGGAAAACATATATTGTGTGAAGAAAATTTACAGTGAAATGGTGGAAAAAGCAAAACCACAGTCTGCAGAATTTTCAGTAGTCAAAATTAGGTGTTTTGTCTTTTTTAAACTTTTTTAGTGCTTAATTTTTTTCCAGCCAAATAAGCTAAATGGGAACAGATCCTTGATTATGATCAGTCTTTTGTATGTAGTTGGTTTATTAAAGGATACATTTTTAAAGTTTAAAACTTTGTTTCCTACTTTGTTCCTTCTGCTTATCTCATATTCTCAGTGGTTTGAGAATTTTTATACATCTGTTTTTTTACCCTCCCCCCTTTTAATAAAAAGCCTTAAGGGAAGTGTAGAACTTCTCTGTGCCTCATTTGACATACCCAATTCAGTATACCTGTATTGAACCAGAATCTTAAAAGTTAGCAGAAACTTGTAAAAGTCCATCTTCTATAACATAGGAACATATAAATAGATATGGAAATTTTATTTTAGGCTACAGGGGAAAAATTGACCAAAAACAGGTTCTTTTTCCTAGCTTTGATTATTAAACAATTCTTTCATATTAGTAACTGAAATTAGTGTTCCTCTGACTTCTGTGTAATTCATCCGTGGCATCAGAAGATTCTTTATGTGGAGATAATTGAAAATGCATATCAAAATGACTTAAATTAAAAAGGAAATGCAGTCAATTCAATGAAGTCCTGAAACAGACTTGATTCCAACTAAACTTTTTTTCTTTAACTCTTTCTTTTATTTATCTCTTTGTGTTCATATCTTTACCTGGTTTATTAGCGGGATGGTTGCAGCATTTGAAATTTCATGTCTTCATAGTGCTCCATCTGTGGAAAAGAGAACACTGTAGAAAAGAAATAGTTTGGTTTCTTAGATGTTTCAGTGAAAGATTCATTGTTTCATGCTTTTTTTAAAATTGAATCTTGTGCCCATGGTTGAACCATGTGCTATACCTAAAAGGTAAAATATGTTCATTTGGTTTTGCCCAAATAGGACCTGCCCTTGAGGCACATGATTGAGGAGAGTTAGTACTGATACTAATTATTAAACCAGTGATAAGTAGAATGAATTCTTAGTTTTGTTAGGGAAGGGTCTTTTTTGCACATAAAAAAGGAATTTTGAATTGGAAAAGAGTATTCTTTGACTTTGTAATGCTTTTTGAAAGGTACTTTTTATTTTTCATGTGCATTTATGTAGGTATTTAATTAAATTATTTTCATTATTTCTAACTTAACTAGGGTTTGATTTGCTAATATAGTGATGATTTTGGCTTTCTTGTTTTAGAGGGATATTGGTTTGTATTTTTCTTGAAGTATCTTTGTCTTGCTTTGGTATCAGGTTAATACTGGTCTTATAAAAGAACCAGTATGAAACTGTGAAGCACTTACAGTAATCAAAATAATTTTTAAAAAAAGAAGAGCAGAGCTGAAGAATTTATATCACTTGATTTTATGATTGGCTGTAGAATTCTCATAATGAGGACAGTAGGGTTTTAGTCTAATGTAAACAAAGAGATCAGTGAAACTGATCAACATACATTGTTAAGTGATTTTCAACAAAAATGATAATTCAGTGGGCAAAAGGATAGTCTTTCCCACAAATGGTGCTGGATCAACTTGAGGTGTACTTGGAAAAGTAATGAAATTTGACTCTTTCTTAAACATTGTAGAAAACATATGAGAAAACCTTTGTGACCTTTAAGTAAGTAACTTTTTTTTTCTTTTTAGAATATAGAATACATTAACTATAAAATTGGAGAGGTATTGGGAACTGAATTAGAACAAATTATATTCCATGCTTTTATAGTTATGTCAAAATGAATCCTATTGTTATGTATACTTAAAACAACAAGTAAAAACATAAAATTCATACCACAAAATAATATCTTCACATATCCATTAAAATGTCTGAAATTTGAAAGACCCAACAGTACCAAATATTGACAAGGATGGTGGAACAACTGGAACTGTCATATTGCTGCTAGGGGTATAAAATTGTGCACTCTGGAAAGCAGTTTGTTAGTTTCTTATAAAGTTAGACTTACCATATTGCCCAACAATTTGACTCCTCACTGTTTTCATCATACAATGAAATCAGATAGTTACTTTATTTTCTTTTTTTTAAAAATTTTAATCTTATTCTATAAACATTTTATGAAAATAAAATATACAGACCAAAAGCACACAAACCACAAATGTGTACAAGCTAATTTAACAAACAGGAAGAGTCAGCAATTTACACTGCTATAGAAGTAGATCACTATCAGTATCTAAAAGCCTACATCCCAGTCACCATTTCCTAAAAAATGGTTATGATTATTCTGACATCTCATTCCATGTATTTTGCCACTTAGTGACATTTCCTTAATAGAATCATGTTGTGCCAATATTGATCTGCACTTTAATTATTCTGCTGAAAAATTGTATTTTTGAAATTTATCTATTTTTATGAGTAGTAACTTTTTTCATTATATTTGCATTTCAAAACATTAGCTGTTATTAGTAATGCTGCTATGAACATACTTGTACATGTTTATTTTTTTCCATTTTTTAAAATTTTTATTATTAGTTGTTCAAAACATTACATAGCTCTTGACATATCATATTTCATACATTTGATTCAAGTGGGTTATGAACTCCCATTTTTACCCCGTATACAGATTGCAGAATCACATCGGTTACACATCCATGTTTTTACATACTGCCATACTAGTGTCTGTTGTATTCTGTTGCCTTTCCTATCCTCTACTATCCCCCCTCCCCTCCCCTCCCATCTTCTCTCTCTACCCCATCTACTGTACTTCATTTCTCTCCCTTGTTTTTTTTTTTTTTCCCTTTCCCCTCACTTCCTCTTATATGTAATTTTGTATAACAATGAGGGTCTCCTTCCATTTCCATGTAATTTCCCTTCTCTCTCCCTTTCCTTCCCACCTCTCATCCCTGTTTAATGTTAATCTTCTTCTCATGCTCTTCCTCCCTGCTGTGTTCTTAGTTGTTCTCCTTATATCAAAGAAGACATTTGGCATTTGTTTTTTAGGGATTGGCTAGCTTCACTTAGCATAGTCTGCTCTAATT